GAGTAAAGGAGATTGGCAGCACCATGTCTGGGAGGAAGGGGACTGATGACTCCATGACCCTGCAGTCGCAGAAGTTCCAAATAGGAGACTATCTGGACATAGCAATCACACCTCCAAATCGGGCACCACCTCCTTCAGGGCGCATGAGACCATACTAAATTTTATTTACTATTTCTTGAATTATTTTTCATTCAGTTATGTAAAATAAATTCTTTTTCTTCCCCTCATCATTGCCATTAAGCCTTCAAAGTCTAAAATTGTAATGCGTCTATCTAGGAATTAGATTTGGCTGTGTTATGGTATGGATATTAATAGAAATTCCATATGTTTCTGGTCCTTCTGTAAAATACGAAGAAAAGTGCTCTTAGCATTCTTTGTAAAATTGTATTGTTAAATACACGTGTGCAATCAACTGGAGTGTGAAAGTTCATGAAGGCATGGGAACAGGGTTTAATGTAGTATTTGGGGTTTATGCTGAGTAGTGGAGGATGGTATGTTAAAGCCCAAATGGGGCAGAGTGAGAAAGCCCTGGGATTAAGTAGAGGGCAAGTTTGTGGCCTGGACTGTTGCCTGCAGTTAGAACAAGGACGAGGTGGCATTTTGGAATAACATGAGCTGAGGCAAGTTGAAAAAGCCATGTGTGCTCGAAGAGACAGGCCTGCCTAAAGCAAGGTACAGCAACATAAAAAGAGGAGAATGGGTGCCACGGTGAGAGCTTTTTATGTTTGAAAAATGGGGAGAATAGCGCATTTTGAAGATAGGAACCAGTATAGAGGAAACAAGGGTTAGCACGTAGGGTAAAGGTGGAAAGGTTTACCTTGAAGGTCTAAAAATGGATGAAAGAGGAATCTTAGGATCCAGGAGCAGAGCCTGGTGAAGTTGAGTAAATAGAGGCTATTGATACGTGGTGTTACCAGTGCCAGAGACTGGCTTGTATCTGAATATCTGGAGAGTCCATATGCATCGTGGTTAAGACCAGCTGGCCTAAACATTTTTGCACCAGGAGCTCTGCAGCCTTGGACAAGTTACTTGAATCTGTTTGTTTTTGTTTGTAAAATGGCGATGACAGCCCATGGGATTGTGGCGATTAAGTATTTCCAGAGGCCTGACCTGTAAGAAACAGTAAATACTAGCTATTAGCTATAAAGTAGTCAGAGCTAAAGCCATATCTTCTGTGGCCCCCTTACGTTCCCATCTTGAAGTTTCTAGAGTGTGGCCAGTGTGTAGTGAGTCTAAATTACCATAGTCTGTTACAGTAGGAATTGGAAAACGTATATTCCAAAATGAAAAAATAGATGCTAGCAGTGATTTTCAGTCAGATTGCGGGCATTTTATCTTGTGTACACAGAAGCAGCCTTTTAAATGTAATGGTTCCGTGGAATTGGTGTGTCTGTCGCAAAGCCCGTCACCAGGCACAGAGACCAGCCCAGAACCCAGATCTGGTGCCTCTTCTCCTCTGAAGTTTACCCCAAACCCTTAGATTTTTTTTATTCATTCAGACTAGATAGACTTGAGTTCTGTCAGTCATAAAGTAATTTAAACTGATTTTGATTTGATTTTTGAGAAGAGCCATGGTAACCTTCCTATTTTGGGGAAGAAACCGATTTACTATTCAGAGGAAGAAGGCAGGAACTAAATACAGGACCTTCGTAAGCCACTTTTTGATATGGTGTGAACTACAGTGAGGGCTCTCTTGTTAATTCCAGGTTATTCTCCCAGTAGTTTTTGTTTTTTAAAAATTTTATTTATTTATTTGACAGACACAGCCAGAGAGGGAACACAAGCAGGGAGAGTGGGAGAGGGAGAAGCAGGCTTCCCGCCAAGCAGGGAGCCCAATGCGGGGCTCGATTCCAGGACCCTGGGATCATGACCTGAGCCGAAGGCAGACGCTTAACGACTTGAGCCCCCCAGGCGCCTCTCCCAGTAGTTTTAAAGCAGTTTATTTACTTGGTTCCAACATGGAATTTTTACTTTAAAGATTTCAGTCTTCTACCAAAAGTAAGTTAAAGACTACCTGATGGATTTATTATTGACTATAATGCTAATAAGAATCAGACAACTTGTACTTAGTCCTTATTTACCTCTGGCTTTGGTAAGTATGGCTTATGGGTAAGTAACTGAGCGGTTTCCTCAAATATAAAATAGAAATAAATGGTCACGGGCGCCTGGGTGGCTCAGTCGTTAAGCGTCTGCCTTCGGCTCAGGTCATGATCCCAGGGTCCTGGGATCGAGTCCCACATCGGGCTCCCTGCTTGGCAGGAAGCCTGCTTCTCCCTCTCCCACTCCCCCTGCTTGTGTTCCTGTTCTCGCTCTCTCTCTGTCAAATAAATAAATAAAAATCTTTAAAAAAAAAAAAAAAGAAATGTCACCATGACAGCACCGTGCTCAGTGCTTAGTATCCTGACGGCCTCTCTTGCTCGTAAGGTATTTTCTGGAGTTGAAATTTTTCCTTTGGAGTATGTGTTCTAGCTCATGTGTTGCCTATAATTTGCCTATCTTTTGAGTTTCCTCACAGTGTACGTGAACTTGGTATTTTAGGTTATTTTTTAATAGGGAGTCTCACTGTTACATTCGTATTTAGATTTTATGAAATGTTACATCCACAGTAATCACTTGCTCGGGTGGTGTTTGAGACAGTGGCGGTGTGTGCACGTGTGTGCGAGCGCACGCATGTGAGGGGGAGAGCGCTATTACACTGTTAGCTTAGGTTTACAATTCTGAAACTTAAACTGTTACTCTTCAGTAAAGAGCTGGACTCAGCCTGCCTCTTGCTATTCAAATTCCAGACTTGAGACCTCAGACTTTGAGAAGGCCACACCCTGAAACAGCTCATCAGAAATAGTGCTGGGCTGTGCTGGGCCTGAGGAACTTGACTGTGTCTCCTCATTGAACCTTCCCAAACAAGCTGCAGAGACTAGTTCCCATTTAGAGATGAGATTGAAGCCCGCTTTAACTAGCACGTCACAAGTGGGTCACATGAACCTAGGAACAGATGTTGAAATACACATTTCCAAAAGTAGTGTTCTTTCATGGTTTACTTTATCCTCAACTCTGCACCCTGGCTTCCACCCACACCACAGGTTACTGTTCGTTTAGGGAAGTTAATCCTCCGCAACTGATCTCTACCAAGGTGCATCATCTTGAGTATGGACCGGTTTCAGTTTTTATACAAACCAGAACGCCTGTCTTAAATGATAGGATCCTGGCTTCCGGTTGGAGGGTCAGAGCAGCCGAACAAGGTCTGTGTGTTCCAAGTTGTGTTCTATTGCTTGGATACAGGTGGTTTTGCCAACAGCTGTAATTTCTTGGGAGTCTGCTGGGGAACAAGCCTGAAGGAAGTATATTCATGGATTTTCTTGCCCCTATAGCAAGGAAATAAAGTCTAAAAAGCAATTTTAATACTAAATACTGAAAAATAATTTTACTAAGCAAAAATCATTAACCTGAGAATGTTACGCAGAATTTATTGTAGAAAGGTGTGCTCGTTACTACCAGCCCCGAAAGCTTGTTGGGAGGAGCCAGTGAAATGGTGTTGAGTGTGCCTGATGGTGAATATTCAGTGAAGAGCTATTTACAAAGAAGAAAAAAGGCATTTGGTGCCCCCTTGCTTTGTGCCTTCGGCTGTCAGAATTTCCTGTCCAGATTAGCAGCTCCTAAGAAAACTTCAGATAGGAGTTGAGATTACAGCGGTTTCCGTTGTGAATGAGGTGAACCTCCCGAGGCATTTTCAAAATCTGTAGAGTGACTATTGGGAACTGTCAGAATTTGTAGTATTCCTGATGACTTTAACTCCTCTCGCTTTCCAGTACTATGCCAGGGGGTAAAATGTATTTGAAAAGTCCCTATCCGGTAGCAGCTACTAGGGCCTGCCCGGCGGTACACAAAGAAATCTGACCCAGATACGGATCCTCTTCGTAAAGTCTCAGTCTAGTCATGGAAGTGCAAATGCGATGAAAGGTGACGGGGAAAGTGTCATGACAAAGACAGTTGCTACTGATGATGGCATTTGAGCTTGTCCAACTCCTCAAAGAGGTTGGGTTGGATTTGTACTCCGGATACAGGCTCTAGCATGAACTAAGGCAGGAACGTGAAAAAGGAAGAACAGTCAATGGAGCCCTGAACTGTTTTGACTGAAGATCAGGATAAAAAGGAATGTCTGATGCCACCGCAGTTATCTGGGTGAGAATTGGCATAGTGGCAGAGGGGACAGGTGAGGGACCAAGTCCCAGAGATCTTAGGCCGCCAAGCAGATCTGGGGTGGGAAATGGGGCAGGGAAAAGGAAAGTCAGTCTTTTTTTTTTTTTTAAGATTTTATTTATTTGACAAAAAGACAGCGAGAGAGGGAACACAAGCAGGGGGAGTGGGAGAGGGAGAAGCAGGCTTCCCGCAGAGCAGGGAGCCCGATGCGGGGCTCGATCCCAGGACCCTGGGACCATGACCTGAGCTGAAGGCAGACGCTTATGACTGAGCCACCCAGGCGCCCCGAAAGTCATTAAAAACACAATGCACTCATCCGAAAAGTCGGGACCATAGTACCTACTTCATAAGAGTTGATTTAAGAATTGGTTATTGTATTTAGGAAATTCAGGAAATTTATTTAGAACTGTGCCTAGCACAGTGAGCTCTCATGTTTGATGTTAGTGCGAATTCATTCAGGAACTTAAGTTGCTAAGTATCTGCGTAATGAACAAAAGCAAACAAGATTCTTGCCCTTACTGAGTTTATGGTCCAATAGTAGAGACAAAAATTAAATCTACACTGGAGTATTTTCTTACAGATTCTACCAGGCACTGCGAAGGATGACAACGGGGTGCTCAGAACTAAGCAGGAGGACCTTTGGGAAAATAACAAAATGACATTTCACCTGAGACCCGAAGCTCCTTTCAAAAAACAAGGAAACTCCGCTAGCATAGCACCGAAGTTTATGAAGCGTTTAACAAAGAATCCCGGGCTAGAACAGGCTGGCTGCGGGCCCAGCTGGCTGATGCGGCTCCCAAGTTGTCAGACCTCAGCTCCCTCTTACTCTCCTGCTTGCCTCTGTTCCTGTCACATGGAGAAGGTGGCCAGGAGCTCCAGGTGTGCATCTCTGCACACCCAGAAAAGTGTTTCCCAGCAGTTCCCAGAGTCCTAGAATGGGCTCTCGCTGACTTGACGGGTCATACGCCCATCACTGACCACACGGGTTGGGGATTGTGACACTGCTTGGTTGAGTCTGGAGCTGGGCTGTCAGTTCTTCCAGGAAATCAGAATATTGCTTTCCTTTAAAGGGCCAGTAGGGTGGGCAGACAAACCAGGCATCGAGGGCAGATGGAGGCGAGGGTGTTAGCTAAGCAGAGTGGGTAGGATAAAGTAGTGTGTGTGAAGCCCCGCGGCAGGAAAGAAGGAAAGGAAAGGAAAGTTGGCCTGTGTGGTTGAGCACAAGTTGCAAGAGAACCGTGAGAAGTAACCTAAAGGTCATTACATAGGATGTTGTATTTCATTTTGAGAGCAATATGCAGACGCTGCAAGGGTTTTAAGCAAGAAACAGGCTTGCAAGATCCTAACACCTGAAGCTTGGTAAGCTGGAAGCGGCGTCGTTCGAACAAACTGCAATCATAGTAGAAAAGCAGGGTCAGAGAAAGAAAAGTTTTGGACAAATGGAATTTGGGGGGCCATCAAAACAAGTTGGGGATACTAGCAGCCAACCAGAAATGTTTACTACAACATTCTTCATTTCCCTTTGCTCCTCACCCCACCCCCCTTCTCTTCAGTCCACTGCAGTTCCTAGGTCCCCTTCAAAATATGCTGTTAATACCATCAATTTGACAGAATCCATGACTCTCAGTGAAATATTTTCTTACTGCTTCACTAGCCTCTTCTCAACCTCCTTTGCTAGACTGCTCTGCATCTGTCTTCCAAAGCGAGGAGAACTCCAGGGTTCAGTCCTGAGTTTGCTTTGAAGCTATCCCCCGCTCCTCGAGCTGTCTCATTCGCTCTGTGGATCTCCATGCATGTAGCTATGGAAAACAGTGAACAAGAGTTTGACAGCAGTTTGGGAGCCCTCGCATATAAAGACCAGAGCTTTACCTTGAAAATATATATTTTACACTATACTTAACAAATATAACCACACAGTAATTCCTAGAACAAAGTTTTGTTTTAGTGACGATTTTCTGACAAGATGAGCACAATGTGACAGGTCTTCACGCTGAACTTTCAAGGTACCATCATAAAAGAGGGTGGTCTTTTTTTTTTTTTTAAAGATTTTTATTTATTCATTTGTTAGAGCACAAGCAGGGGGAACAGCAGGCAGAGGGAGAAGCAGGCTCCCTGCTGAGCAAGGAGCCCGATGCGCGGCTCGATCCCAGGACCCCGGGATCCTGACCTGAGCTGAAGGCAGATGCTTAACGACTGAACCACCCAGGCGTCCCAAGAGAGGGTAGTCTTTACTGCATCAAATTTCCTGAATCTAAGCCTTTGAAGCACCTTGTCATGATACTTGCAAACTGTTTCTTTGCAAATTTTTAAGTGGTCTCCGCAATAGGCTAGGTCATTTTCCCTTTGGCTGTAATCTGGAGTTTGCCAACAATACCTGCATGAACTTAGAACTACTTCCCGCTTATACTTAAATGGGAAGAATCCTGGACTCGCTGGACAGGGCAGCCTGAAGCTATCAGAGGGCTCGAGAGGTAAGGGTCTCCTGCTTCCTGGGCTCTCAGGTGACAATCCATAGAAGGGCACCCGGCCCAGGAAGAGTCATCAGAACCTTCCAGATGGAGGCTCAGGGTTTGCTGGGTGGTCAAGCTGGAGAGCATGCTTGGAGATGTCAGCAGCCATGTGATGGAAAGAGCTGATCTGAGAGGGTAAAACTGACACGAAGTAAAAAGCTGGGAGTAAAAACAAGAAAAACCCACAGCCTGGGCGCCTGGGTGGCTCAGTCGTTAAGCGTCTGCCTTCGGCTCAGGTTATGATCCCAGGGTCCTGGGATCGAGTCCCGCATCGGGCTCCCTGCTCGGCAGGAGGCCTGCTTCTCGCTCTCCCACTCCCCCTGCTTGTGTTCCTGCTCTCGCTGTCTCTCTCTCTGTCAAATAAATAAATAAAATCTTTAAAAAAAAAAAAAAATTATATGAGATCTCAAGGGCTTCCATTTAAAAAAAAAAAAAAAAAGAAAAACCCACAGCCTGACAGGTGAGTCCCTGTTTCCAACTGAGACCTGCGGTACAGCTACCCAGACCTGCAGATTCCTCCCTTTTCCTCAAGTTATTTAAGCTGCCATTTGTAGACAACAGTCTTAAAAGCACTGCTGAAATAAATGGTGTGAAAGGCTCTGGGACAGTTGTGAGAGGAGACAGGACCAGGGCAGAGCCAGAATCAGAGGAGAAGCCCAGCTCCAGCCGACAGCAATGCCACCTCGCCATGAGAAGATCGGGGTAGCCTTGCCTGAGTAACATTTAAAAATTTTAAATTATTTGCCCTGCTTCCTAATATTACTCAGCCATTCTGTCAGATTAGGCAGGATCAATGTGAAATCAATGTAACAGTAATGATCTTTGAAAACTGTGAGACCGAGATTAAACTAAATCAAATCTCAATAAAAAGCGTATAAAAGGGGTGCCAGCTGGCTGAGTCAGTAGAGCAGGCCGCTCTTGTTCTCAGGGTCGTGAGTTCAAGCCCCACACTGGGCATGGAGCCTACTTAAAAAAAAAAACAAAACAACAAACCACATTATGACACCAGTGTCCATGTTCATCTTTAATATGGGTTGGTTTTTATAAAGGGGGAAGATGTAGGGCAAGGTGAATAACAAAGTAAGTCCAGCTCTGCTTTCATCCTTCTGTTCAGTTTCTACAATGGGTGGATCCACTAGAATTTCTGCAAAAAGATACAATTTTTTTTAAGATTTAATCAAGCATAATAAATAGACATCAATAAAACAAATGACAATATTACGGCTATATATTTTTGCAATCATAAAATAATTGGGTATAGATTCCCAATGAGGTCATCCCACGTGTTCGTGTGGGAGTCTGAATTCCAGGGATAACAAGCTCTATATCAAAAGAGAGGCTGTTAACCTAAGCTGGCAAATGTCAATTAAAAATTTTTTACTATCCCTAAAAAAAAAAAAAAATTTTTTACTATCCCCCCAAAAAAAAATTAAAAATTTTTTTTACTACCATACGAATATTAATTTTTAAATGTTCTCCTCAAATAATACAGATAATTTATTTACAACGGTAAATAACCTTCACCATACCTTCACCAATTTTCTTTGTTGCCAACACCTCGGATGTTCGGTCCTTCGTATTTAGTGAGGAACCCTTTGCTGGGTGGCATGGCTTTCACTGCTACTGGAGTTGCTAGGTTTGAGTTGTATTTTGATAAAATCTGAAACAAAACATTCCTTTTTATCAAGTCATTGGAACAACACAACAAATTTGGAAGGTCTTATAAAACAAGAAAAGCCAAGGAAAATTTAAAGATAGGGATTATTTGAAAGTTATTTTTCAGCAGCACAGACAGATGTTCAACAGCAAAGAAAAGATGGAGTTATTAGAATTGAATTTGGAGGCTTGATTTTCTAAAGCCTTCTAAAATGTACTCTAAGATTAATAGGAGTAAGCAGCAATGCATCCCTGAGAGCAAATTAAGCCTTTACAAAGTTGTTAGGGAAAATGTATATAGGAAGGAGGCAAGATACATGCTCAAAAGAAAGATCATCAGCTATTAAAGATTATAAAGAGTCTGAAATATCAGCTATGATTTTTTTCATACATAGGTGATACATTAAATACAAGGTTTCCCCTCTTTCATGTAGAAATAAAAAGAGAAGGATCAACCACAGCAAAGTGGAAACTCTAGATAACTCCTATAAAGGCAGAATATGCTCACTCCACTTCTTATAATTCCCAGGAAAACAGAAGACAAAGAAAAAAGGGTAACAACTACTTTCTTGATTATCACAGGATGAGTCTGCTCTAATGGCATTTAGGTATTCTTCCAAGTAGTTTTCATCCTTCCCACAGCTCTCCACAAGCTGGGTCAGTTGCTAGAACGGTTCTTAACAATTCCACTTGCCTAAGCCATTCTCCCGAGTATTCTAACTTCCATTAAGGGTGGGGGGCATGACTGGTGGTTATTCAGTAGATCTGGCAGTCGGTATATAGATCAGGAGTAGACTCGAGGTAAATGATGTACTAACGAATCAGATATTCTAACATTTAAATCAATGTTTCTCAAACTGAGGTCCAAGATGTCTTCGGTTCAAGAAACACTGATCTAAGCTATTCATGATACCCTACCCTGGGCAATGTAGGGTAAATGACATTTCTGATTTTGCCAGACATACCTCCAATGAAAACAATGGTCAACATGGCAATTGCAGTTGAACAATTATTACAAAATATTCTAAGAATACATTTCAGAACATGTAGTTAAAGGTAATGCAGCATGAGGGCATAAAAGTATGATGAAGTCATGAGCTTTGTACTCAGCTCAGAAGAGCCTCAGCGAGGTACTCTCAGAAGGGCACAGAATTTAGATTTTCTCAGTACACGAACCAGCCCATTAGCCCAATGAGAAATAAGAGTTTATATACAGTTTCATCAGGTCTTTAATATAAATATCTAATTTTGAAAAGAATGTATCAGAGAAAGAAATAGCCTGGAAATACCACCTGGAGAATATCTTCTGGAATGGTAGTCACTTCTGGAGGTGTAGGTGTTCTCAACAGATTCTCATAAGAAGAAATTACAGGAGAAGAGGGATCCGCAAAACTCTCAAAACACTTGTCTGAATTTAAAACTAATGATGTACAGTCTTTCATTTCCAAATCATTTGATGAACTATTTGTTTTTGATAATGGATAATCTGTGGACCCCTATTGAACAAAAAGAAATCATTAAATTATGATGGCATAAAATACAGTGAACAAAAATTATTAGTCAATTTTAGTTCTATTGCACAAAAGTGACACAGAAGTAAGCACAAAAATGACCTGTTCTTCTTCGGCCAATTACTAAAGAAAATTGAGAAAACAAAGAAACGGCATAGGGAGGACAAAATACCATCATTCATTACTGATAATGGCTGAGCTACAGCTTAATATGAAAACTAAATGGGCTTGACTGAACCCGATTTAGATGGATTTCACCCACCAGTTTCGGGCAGCACTGAGCTGGGCCAGGTGAGAGTAACAGCACGGATGAGCACAAGTGTTACCACACGCCCTCACTCTCGAGACCAAGAAAGCCCATCTGACGCAAGTAAGCTTAGCAGGCAATTCATGCTAAACTCACAATCCAGTAAATCCCCTCATCTCCCTAGGGTCAGAGTTAATACAGAGGGAGAGTCACACTAGTACAGGGCCTTCCACAAGGAACACAAGGAATGGATTAGGTGTAAGAGGCAAGTACTAGCAGGTAATAACCTGAGAGACACTTCAACTGATACTAACCGCATTTTGTTGGTCTAGAGCTACACTGTCCGATACAGCAGCGACAAGCCACATGGGGCTATTTAATTTTAAATTCATCAAATATTTAAAAATAAAAAATTAGCTCCACAGATGCACTGTCACATTTTATGGACAGCCCAGTCTTCTGCACTGGTTGTCTTAAGTGTTCATAGTGACTTTTTTTTTTTTAAGATTTTATTTGACAGAGACAGAGATAGTGAGAGCAGGAACACAAGCAGGGGGAGTGGGAGAGGGAGAAGCAGGCTTCCCGCCAAGCAGGGAGCCTGATGCGGGGCTAGATCCCAGGACCCTGGGATCATGACCTGAGCCGAAGGCAGACACCTAATGACTGAGCCACCCAGGTGCCCTTAAGTGTTCATAGCGACTTTAAAAAAGGGATGAGGTATGCTTATAGTAAATTTGTTCATTGAGAAATATTTGGAAAAACCCTAAAAATCATCCTTAAATCTATCACCTGGAGATAGATAATCACAGTTTGGTGTGTTTCTATCCATTCTTTTATCCTTTTTCTTTGAAATAAAGTATATTGTGTGTGTTTGTATATTCATACACAGGCATGTCATTTTCCTTCATTAAAATTTCTTGAAAAACATTCTTTTTATGTTCTTTTTTTTTTTTGTAAGATTTTTAAATTTATTTATTTGAAAGAGAGAATGAGAGAGAGAGAGAGCACATGAGAGGGGGGAGGGTCAGAGGGAGAAGCAGACTCCCTGCCGAGCAGGGAGCCCGATGCGGGACTCGATCCAGGGACTCCAGGATCATGACCTGAGCTGAAGGCAGTTGCTTAACCAACTGAGCCACCCAGGCGCCCCATTCTTTTTATGTTCTTATTTGTTCTTTAAAACATATACCTTAGTGTATTTCACTTCTCCACTACCACTTTGACATTCAGGTTTTTCCCATTCTTTGCTCTTATAAATAATGCTGTTCCTTCTTCTATAACTCCCTTGTTATAATTCTTTGGACCAATGTGCCTTAAAATAAATTCTGAGATATGGTTAAAGGGTATGAAAAAATTTTAAAGCTTTTGCTATACGCTGCTAAATTCCCCTCCAGAAAGATGTAAAAATACTTTTAAAGCCTGCATTAATCTAAGTGGGTTTTTTCAACTGACGTATAGTTAACATATAATAGTCTACGTTTTTAAAACAGACTGAGGCTAGAAATAGTAGTGTATACGAGTCATCAGGAAAAAGATTAGAGCTTTCAATGTTATGGAAACGTACCAAAGCTGTACTGTTCTTTGTAGAAGGAATTTTCAAACCAGGAGTGCAGAATGTAGGTGCCACGGGAGAATCCGTGTAGTTGGCACCTAAAAGACAGAAGCAATGGCATGAGAATACACATTTGAAAATAAAGTTGAAATAAGCAACTTATTTCAACTTTTAGGTTATAATCATAGTCAATATAATTTGTGCACTTTATTTTTAATAACTTAAGAAATAGCTATCATGTGTGCTTGACTAGACAGGAAGAAACAAAACTGTATTTGCTTATCTAGTTATCATCGGCACTAATAAAAGTTCAGCAAGGCTGCAAGGTATAAGAGCAATATATAAAATAAATATAAATAAAATATAAATAGTTTTGGCAAAAGAGCAACAAACAATTAAAAACATAATTTGAGAAAAGATATTTTTTGGGGCACCTGGGTGGCTCAGTCAGTTAAGCGTCTGCGTTCAATTCAGGTCATGATCCCAGGATTCCTGGGGTCCTGGGATCAAGCCCTGCATTGGGTTCCCTGCTCAGTGGAGAGCTTGCTTCTCTCTCTCCCTCTGTTCCTCCCCCCTGCTTGTATGCTCGCTCTCACTCTCTCTCTCTCAAATAAATAAAATCTTTAAAAAACAAAAAAAAGATACATTTTTACAACAGCAACAAAGACAACAAGACATCTATATGTAAATCTATTAAAATCTGTATGATCTTTATGGAGAAAATAAAATTTCTGAAGAAGAAACAGGAGGAGGAAGAGGGCAGGGAGGTCACCTACCTTCAAGACATTAGGATTTATTCTAAAGCCGTAATTGACTATCAGAACTTTTAAAAAGAGATCCCAGAAACAGAATCATGGCTATACAGACATTTAATACCTCTAACACATAGTATCATGAAAGCAATCTTAAAAAAAAAATCAAAGAGGGGTGCCTGGGTGGGTCAGTTGGTTAAGTGGCTGACCCCTGGTTTTGGCTCAGGTCATGATCTCATGGGTCAGTGGGGAGTCAGCTTGAGAGTCTCTCCCTCTGCCCCTCCCCGCTGCTCACACTCTCTCTCTAAAATAAATGAATAAACCTTTAAAAAAATCAAAGAGAAAAAGTAAATGTTAGAAAAATGACAAGACTAGCAAAATTTTATGAAGTCTAAAAATCAAGTGCTGGTAAAGATGGAGAAACAGAGGGGTGCCTGGGTGGCTCAGTCGTTGGGCATCTGCCTTTGGCTCAGGTCATGATCCCAGGGTCCTGGGATCGAACCCCGCATCAGGCTCCCTGGTCTACGGGGAGCCTGCTTCTCCCTCTCCCACTTCCCCTGCTTGTGTTCCCTCTCTCGCTGTGTCTCTGTCAAATAAATAAATAAAATCTTAAAAAAAAAAAA